ATAAATTGAGACCTAAATAATTTCACACTAATTATTTTCAATTCTCTTTTTTCAATCGTTATGTTCAAGAGTGGAATACAATAACTATACAAATACAATACAATAAAATATCCAGTAATACAAATATACAAGAGACGAAAATGAATTGGGGAAATGGGGAAACTCGAAAACTGAATGTTTTTGGGGGAAACTCGAAAACTCGAAATTGTATGAAAACACTCCGCCCTTCGGGCGTCGTGTTTCCATACAATTTCTCGTTTTCCCAATTCCACCCGTGTTGATATAACTATATATCAACACGGAAAATGTTTTATATTTGCTAAATGTCAAGCTTTTATGCACGTGTGGGTTCAGCAGAGTGCTGAGGCATTCAAATTCTGACAATACGTTGTTTCAGTAGTTCGTTTTTTGGGGGACACCCTGTATATTGTCACTCATGCAAAATTTTCCAGATTTCAGATATCTATGGTTTTTCCGCGTTTTTGACCCATTATAAGAAAGGTCTATTGGGAGGGCAGTATAGGCAATTCCAGCTTTTAGTTTATGCGTGCAGGGGACGATGGGAGGTAAGGTATCGTATTGCTGATTATGCTGCAAAAATAAAAATGGTGGCCGTGTAAACACGGAGTGATAGCTTATACTTGTAAATATTGATATATTTCGGTAGTTTTTATTGAAAATTTTCAGCATAATCGGCAATATGATACCTTACTTCCCATCATCCCCTGCAGACATAAACTAAAAGCTGGAGTTGCCTATTCCCTTGGCCTTGAGCATTCTAGAACGCCGTAACTAATCATGCTATAGCTACTTCAGTAGCTAGAACGAAGTCGTGTCGGGTGTTCTGGTGAACTCACGGACTATATTGCCGCTATACTCGACTTTTAGGGGTTTTTGCAAAGAAAAGTAAGTACTTAAATAAAGTTAGTAAAGGTAAATAAAGTTTAGTAATGTATGATTTGGCTTCGATACAAAAATATAAGTAATTGTGTGTTTCTGTTGTTGCTATTATATTAGAGAGTTTGAGCAAGACAACGAAGTACGAAGACGAAGGCGTACTTGACAATTTTTGCCGTTTGCACATTATCTGGCGCATACTGAGTTGGACGTCACAGCTGGTGGTTGCTCAACGTGTCTTCCCATATGTCGCTGTTTATGAATACCGACCCTAATTCTTGCCCTGACCAAGAAAAAAACAGCGAGACATGACACTATATCCCGTTTTTGTCCTTCTGCCTTGGTTCGGAACGAAGTTCACAACGAATTTTGCCAAAATATTCGTTCCGAACGAAGGCAGAAGAACGAAGACGGGATATGGATTCATGTCTCGCTGTTTTGTCATGATCAGGGTAAGGATTTGGGTCAGCATTCATAAACAACTTAGACCTGAATCTCGAATCTGTCTTCACCCCTGACCCTAAACTTGGAATGTTCAAGATAATGTGCAAGATAAGCAAAAATTGTCAACCACGTCGTTGTCGTTCGATTTCGTTCTCTTGCTCAAACTCTCTATTGTTTTTTTTTGTTTTTTTTATTATTTTATTATTTTTTTTGTTTTTATTATTTTATTATTGTCGGATACAAGACCGCGCAACGCCGGAATCACGTTGAAAGAACACATTCTAATGTGCATGCTAGTATAAGCTAACTATCACCAGCATGCTGCGATAGACATTGATGAGTATATTCTAGCCTCCGCAGGCAACTCTGTGGGGGTCTATAATAGGTAAAAATTTACCAAAAGTACTCTTTATTAACTTCATATTCAATAAATTTGCATTGCAAACTCGTATACTGATTATATGAATTACTTTGACCGCGCTCAACAAAAAAGTGTCCTGGAGACGAGAATGAGGGGAAAACGGGGTATTAGAAGGGGGTATCAGGTGACGATGGGGCAGGACACTTTTTTGTTGTGCGCGGTAAAAATAACTCGTATATGAACTTATACGAAATATCAAAATTTCTTGTTTTCAAGTGGTTTGCAATGCAAATTTATTGAATATGAAGTTAATAAAGAGTACTTTTGGTAAGTTTTTACCTATTATAGGCCCCCACAGAGTTGCCTGCGAAGGAGGCTAAGTATATTCATTTAGTCCACTAGATGAATATTCAAGGTAATAATAATACTCATGTTTCTGAGATTATAATGAAAGAACGCATTCCAACGTCACGCTCCTCCACAGGGGGCGTTTTTTACTGTTCGCGCGAACAAATTCGCCTAGTGGAAAATAGGCTTAATGGCAGACGATTTTACTCGGCAATGGGAGAACACTGGCGGGGCTGAATGGGTTAAAATTAAAATGACCAGAAAAGTACGAGCCTACAAGCAAGCCGAGTTGGCGTAAGCGGTTTTCTCCCATTTTGGATGCCGCCATTTTGTTTTTCTTTCGCTTCGTTGTTTTCGGAAAAAAACACGAAATAATTTCGTTCAAGAATTCAATTATACTGTATTATGTTAAATAACTTTTTACCAAGGTAAGGCCCACTTTTTTGCTAACTTTTTCAATGCTTTTTAATCCGTTTAATGAAATTATTATTATGCAAATATGCAGCAGGCATATTACTGATACAGTGTTGAAAATTGAGCATTAATTTTTAATTGCCTTCGACAGTACTTAAAAATTTGTTAAAACACCGTTTACAAAAAGCCTCAAGGCGTTTGGAAGTTGCTTTTGGAAATGAAATCTTTATAATTATTGATCGGCATTGTATTTATAAACATGGGTACGAAATATTTTCAGGTAAATTATTTATTTTTTAGTATTTAGATTTTAGTAGTCGTATATGAATGCTATTTAATATATATTTCATATTTATTTGTCCGTGTTTATGACGGTTTATGAAATTTAAGAAAATCATTGTCTCTAAATTGTTATTTATTGTCTTATGAAATTCAGTTTATAATATTATTTTCTATTTCATATTTACTCATATTCAGTTGCTTTTGAACGCGATCTTTTATTGCCTGCTGGCATGAATTTTTAAGTGGGCATTTCTAGTGGCTACTATATACATATATATATATATATATGAATAGGTTTTGGGAATCATCCATGGTATATATAAGCCTCGCATATCGGTGTTATCCATGAGAAACGTCATATGGACGTTTCTCTGGAGACCTCCACCACTAGAAACATCACACATAGTTATCGACATTTTGTTCTTAGAGAATAGAGTACACATATGTTTTTATTAATATATATGAACTTAAAAATTTCCAACGTTTCTCAAGACAAATTTTTTTGCATGAAAATTGACAATTTTAGCGCGTTTTTCTGTTGAAATCTGAGTGTTTTCAATGCAAGGAAGGCGTAATAATATAAATGTATAATAGAACAGGTATGGTATTACGAATGTTTGGACTGGTGTTTGTGTCAAGTGGTTTTCTTCTTTATATTCTGCAAAGATGATTCCAAATTGTCATGACGACATGAGTGTCATGAAGAAATATGAAAATGACTCAATGATAATCCATAAATAAAGCCCCGGTCAAACGAGTATAAGGCTAAAAGCTATCACGAATTGTTACAGGGGATATTTCAAGCTTTAGATTGACATAACTAAGGGTTTGCAAAAAAACCCCGAAAAATTTCGTTCAAGAATTCAATTATACTGTATTATGTTAAATAACTTTTTACCAAGGTAAGACTGCCCATTTTTTTGCTAACTATTTCAATGCTTTTTAATCCGTTTAACGAAATTATTCTTATGCAAATATGCAGCAAGCATATTACTGATACAGTGCACGTGTTGAAAATTGAGCATTAATTTTTAATTGCCTTCGACAGTACTTAAAAATTTGTTAAAACACCGTTTACAAAAAGCCTCAAGGCGTTTGGAAGTTGCTTTTGGAAATGAAATGTTGACAATCTTTATAATTATTGATCGGCATTGTATTTATAAACATGGGTACGAAATATTTTCGTTGATGAGTGTTCCAACTGTGTGTTAACTTAGTAATCATGTGTTTTTTTCACAGTGATGGTTTGTGGGAAATTATCTCAAGTTGTCCGCTACAAGACAATGTGGTATTTTGTGGTCGTCGTTATATCCGTCACTTTAGTTACAAATCTTTTTATCATTTTCCCAACGGCGTTTTCTATGCATGATGAACATGATAGTATGCGCAGCTCATTCATCAACGCGCGTCTTCCACGCGTGGACTCACGTAGGATCGGACAAGACTCGCGCGATGTAGCGTGGGACTCGCGTACGAGCTTTTCCCCACCTGAAAAACCTGTTGATACGACACAAGACGGATTGATAACGACTGAGAGGACGGCACGAATGCCCGATCCATCTTTATCCACAGGTGGTAGAAATATCCATTCAGATCCTACAATATCCCAGGAATGCCAGAATTTGTATCGCCATCACATGAGCCCACCCTATCGGTTATCAGCAGTTCTCCTGGTTCGTGTATACCGTCATGATCGCGCGGGACTTTCAAGTCGCGAGATGTTACAATGGTTATTCTACCTTCGCTATGCTGGCTTCGATCACGTGTTTGTCTACGATGCTTATGTCGGCAAAAAGGAATCACAATATCACGTGCTTTTACCGCTTGTCCAATCGGGTTACATTACATATGTAGACTGGAGTGCATATAATCCATATACAATAAAAGGCACTCAGATTTCTGCTTACCAAGACTGTGTTGATAACTACGGGAGTAATCTAACCTGGCACATGGCTATAGATATTGACGAATATCCATTTAGTCCTATTGACGTGGAACCTAACTTTATGCAAAGATTTCTTCACAACTTCTCCGTTGAAAACCCACATGTTTCGCAAATAACGCTACAAAACTACCTGTTTTTAGGAAAGCCACTTGACTCGCAAGACAACCCGTTTCTTATAGCGCGGTTGAGACGTAGAACGCACAAAAAAGGGAATGACTTGGGAAAGTCGGTGTTCCGGGTTGCGCAAATGCGCACAGCTGAAGTTCATCATAATGAAATGCGCGATGGTAAGACAATAGATAGCGATGCGCAAGTAATGCGTCTGAACCATTATTGGGGTGCGCGTTTGCAGGATTGGGGCGAGGATACCCCCAGAATACTAAAATTGACCGAAACTGATTATTCAGTAAAGCCAATTGTTGATCGGTTAAATCGCTGTTCAAAATACTTTGGGACTGGTAGTCTGTATATGAAAAGATGGAACTGATTGTTACTATATAACGCATTTTAGTTTATGAAAGCATACTTAAAATATTTATGATCTATGTGAGTACAAATGATATTCCTGTTTAAGTGTTATTGTTATTTATTGGGCACAAGGGACAGGCCAGGGGATTGCCTTAACCTACAACGGGAAATGGACTGTCTGAGGTAAATTAAAACTTTCGATTGTTATGGTGGAAAAACAGCCAGCAATTTGATCAAGCATGAACATTTATTATTATAAATAATCTAACGTAATAATTATTATGCCTTAATCAATTTACTGTTTGATTATATCTGTCACTAATCAATGACCCAATCAACACTAATCATTCAAGAAATCAATGAATAATTTTTGTCATCACTCAGTCAACATGGTCAATCAGTTTTTTTCGGTTTCTACTTTTCCGTGAGCATCAACACAAAAGTCCTTTCAAATAATCACAGCAGGATCTCTTCTTCCTATCATAAACTAGGCTTCCACAACACCTGCTGTCATTTCCATAATTTTTACTTTGAATCACGTCTTTATAACAACACATCGCTTTCCTTGTATTGTAGAGGTCCGCACCACAGCAGCTTATAACCCGAGGGTCTTGATCATGCGCTTTCCCGCCACAACACACTTTACTGGACAGACCATTTGGGTACATATTAGGCCAGCAGCATAAATCTTTAGCTTTGTCAAAAACCTGCTCCCCACAACAACTGTGGTCGGATCCGTTCAGTTTCTTTTGGTAGATTTTGTTAGAACAACAAAACTGTTGGTCAAAATCGTAAGCAACTCCTGCACAACATTGGATGAAACGTGTTGTAGGGAATTTTGGTCTGAGGGTAATGTTAGGCCAACAACAGTAATGAGTTTCCGCGTTGTAAGATTTCTGTGAACAGCAGTATGTCTTAGGCCCAAGTCTTGGTTGTAATCTGTTGTAACAACATACATATTTACTCGTGTCGTAGGGCTGGCCTCCACAGCATTGCATTTTTTTGTCATTCGTCGGTGATACCTGTCATGAAATATATTGAGTTGTAGAATGTTTATTTATTTACCTTATTATAGGAAATTAACGATGCACTTTATTAACGCGGATTTTAAAAATTCGCGTTAATTTAATTAATGTTAATTTATGTGATCGTTAATTTTAAGTATGTAATTTTCATTTATCGTTAGTTAAAAATACCTAGATTTGTTTTATATAACACTAACTCTTTTTATATCAAAATGCAGCATATTAACGTAAACTAAAAACATCAGTGCTCCTCTTAACATTAAACCTTTGTTGTTGTTGTGTCTATATTTTCCGATTCGCGTTAATTTAATTAATTTGTCAACCATGGAGATCGGATTCGCGTTAATATAATCATGTTTTAAAAGACCTAGAAGCAATCCGCGTTAATTTGATGTCGCGTTAATTTATGTCGCGTTAATAAAGTGCATCGTTAATTTCCTATAATAAGGTATTTATTTATTTGTTAAACTTCGCCAAATTCAAACACACCACGTGACATAAACAACCACAAACACCACAACGTGTACAACTAATTATGAATGGTGGGGGACACCACAACAGTAGAAACCAATTAGCCATTTCCCAAAGTCCTGGATCTAGTCGCGCGAATCCCTTGTTGGAGGGACAAGAAATATGATAGCACACATTTAAATTAAATGTTTAATGTAAAAAGGAGATCATTTTTGGTCGCCTAAAAAGTTGATATTTGATAGTAGGTACTTCTATCTTTTACATATTTGACGTCTGTCACCATATATTTTGTCCCTCCATACGATCCCAGAATGCATTGTGATCTCTTTTGGGAAAAGGCTAATTACTGTAGGCCCTAAATACTAGCAAAGCCGGTCAATATTCGAATGTTTACCGAGAAATGGTCAGATTGGTCAATATATTTGTAATGTCATGCGCTCAATTCGCTCGTTGACGAAACTTCATGCACTGTTATAGACTGTACTTCATGTACTTAAAGTGGTTCTGCGTAGGAAAGTGATGTGGACACGGCTTTATTAATGAATTCGTTTAAAAAGAATATTTTGATGAACTTCTACCTTTTGATTACAGCATATTTCCTTTTTACTATCATACATTGTCTTGCCACAACACCCGAGGGTCTTACTGCCGTTCGTTAGGTAACTTTTCCCGTAGCAACACAAACTCCGGGCTTTGGGAATGAGATTTCCGTTACAGCATTTTTGACTGGTGTAATCCATGGGTTTATCACGACAACATCTTAAGGTTGCCGATTTCCCCCTCGGGTAAAGTTTCCCGTAACAACAGATCTGGGTACGCATGTCGTATGTTGTCTTCCAACCACAGCAACTCAAGTTCCCGTTGCCATTGTAGTCAACGATTTGATCATTGCAGCAAAAGCTCTTTCTGTAGTCCTGTATGACTCCTACAAAGTATAGATGATCTCTGAGTGTTTCATATATAAGCACTTTCACTTTCCCGACCAATATTATTAATGGAGTCGACAAAATCCATCACAGGGTAACTTTGTTTATTCTATTCTGTACTAGTCAGATCATTTCCTGTCCCACTTTCAAGAACATGTGCTACCACTGGATGATCTAACCCAGCAGTGAGTTCTGTGCAACAACAGATCACTTTGCGTTAAGGTAACTCACATTCAAGAACATGTATTAGCATGATATAACCATGCTAAACTCAGCAGTGTGTTCTTTACAGCATCAGATTACATTAATGTAGCGCACATTCAAGAACATGTACTACCTCTGTATGATCTAATGCTAAACCCTGCAGTGATTTCTGTACAACAACAGACCACTTTAGAGTAGCTCACATTCAAGGACATGTACTACCTCTGAATGCTCTTTGCACACTGAACTCAATGATGAGTCATTTACAATATCAGATCATCTAAGTTTATCGCATTTAAATCAAGAACATTTTCTACCTCTACATGATCTAATCATGCTCAACTAACAACTGGTTATATAATCATGACAGGATGGCACTATTGTTAGGCTAAATATTATTCAAAAAGGTACAGGAACCTTATCACTGGAACGTGACTGAATTGCACTATTGCTATGCCAAGTATTATGCACATTCAACAGTAAATATAGAAGAAATGCTACCTGCAGGACAACACCTCGCTTTGTCTTTATCATCCACATCTGCCACACCAAGCTTGGGACAACACAATTGCTTGCTACGGTCAATGGGTTTACCATAGCAACAACCCAGTTTCACGCCATTGGTAGGATAGGCCTTGTTGTCACAACATATATATTTATTCTTGGAGTAAACCTGACCACCACAGCAAATTTGATTTGAATAATGATAAGATTTTTCATCACAGCAGAAGAGATCGGTGGAACCATTACGCGGATATAAGATAGTTTCTTTGTAGGTATGACAACATAAATGTGTGTTGTAGTTATGTACCTTGTTACCACAGCATTCCTGAGTTGGACCTGTCTTTTTTATGATCTGATTATCACAGCAGAGTGAATCATTTCTGGAGATAATTTGATCTGAACAACATGTCTAAAGGAAAATATGGATGCACTCATTGAGCTGTAGATGGGCTTCAGTCAAGTATTTTATGTGATGGACATCTTTAAAAGAAAGTACGATTATCTGAGTGATCTCTAAACAATCCTACCACTTACATCAGAAAAAGCAGGTTCTTGAACAGACGAAAACACAGCTCTGAATACTTCCGTATTATAAGACGATTTCTACCTTTTATTCTCCATTATCATAAATTTTCTATAAAGAACCCCTCTCCCTCCAACTCCTTCAAATAAGCCCCATTCAAGCATGGCTGAAATAACTAAGCCCAGGGAAGATTTCATGCAGGATTTTACTCTAAAGAGGTCGTTGAACGACGAAAGCTTAATAAATAAATAAACCTGCAACCTGCAAGTTTACCCAGTAACGTACGACTGGGCCGCATTTGCACCACAAAACTTTATATCAGAACGTTACTGAAAGATATTTTCCACCGACTACTAAATACCTGTGTATGGCTATCATATGTTCTGGCACGACAGCAAGACAAACGGTTGGGATCCCCAGCATGGAATGTTCCTTCACAGCAAACGCCTTTGATCATATTATACACTCCTTTCCCACAGCATGCTAGGTTCTGATCGCCCATCTTTGCAATCGATCGTCCATCACAGCACAGGTACTTTCTTGTTGAAGTGACTTTTGAGTCACAGCATTGCTCGTTGAAGAAATTATACGGTGTCTCGCCACAGCAGCTCGTTGAGTAAGGGCTTGCAACTGAGGTGACTTTGTTTCTGCAACAAACTTGGGTTTGTTCATTGAATGCCTTATCATCACAACATCTCAGCCTTGTTCCACCTTCACGATGATGAAGTTTATTCTGACAACATACATAGTCTGATGATGGGTAGATTGTACCATTACAGCAAACCTGTACATAAGAAAATTTCAGTGAAATTGTGTTGTTTTGTTTTGTTTTGTTTTTTTGTGTGGAGAACACCATGTTTATTCCGCAATCTTTCAATCCGTAAGCGCGTATCGTTATCAGTGCAAATAATACAAGGAAAATGGTTGAGAAACGTATCGAAAAATAAAAATTTTGAATGTAGTCATAACCGCCAATGGTATCACTTTTGAACGCGTGTTTCGTTACTTAAGGCCATGTTAACGGTGCAATATTACAATTCCAGTTATATATAAGATTCACTTCATTCATACCTGTTTCTCATAATCATATCCGAGTTTTCTACAACAGCTAGGATCTTTGATCTCCGGAGGCATTTTTACCACGGTGTTTTCACAACATAACTCTCCAGAATCACGACGAAGAATCACTCCATTGCAACAAGACTCAGTGCTATAATTATACGGCTTCTTCCAACAGCATCCAAATTGTCCAGGATGAACCGGTTGTATCTGATTTAAACAAGAGCACTTGTGAATTTCCACATTGACATTTTTTATTGAAAAACTAATTGAATTCCTAATGAATGAAATCCAAATCTTAATCCTATCTTTACCCTAACCCAAATCTTAGTTAACCCTACCCCATGCACGCTAACGTCCTAACCCAAATCTTGAAACTAGTATATACATGAAATTGTGGCTATAGCTCTTAAGGCCCATTTCCGCTCAGGAAAATTTTCCGCAGATGGAAAATTTGGCAAAATTTGATTGGTGGACCAAAATTTTTCGTCGGGAAAAAATTTTGAAGTTGAAAATTTTCAATTTTTAACAATGATATTTTCTGAAAATTTTCTGTCCGTGAAAATCTTGAGTGAAAATGGGTCTGTAGCAGCTGGATCAGCTGTAGCTCAGTGGTCAGAGTGTTGTTCAGGAATCGCTGGACTGCAGTTTCGAGTTCTGCCGGATATAGCTTATATATAGTTTTCTCAGCTGCTCCAGACGTATGGAAAGTCACCGACATTGTATCTTATTTTACATAACTCATAAATATATTTATTTATTTGTATGTATTACCTTTACAACCTTTTATACATGAAGAAATAGATATTAAACACATATAGATGAAGGACAAATGAGGTTGAAGGTATATGGTCAACAGAACAAGAATCTGATTGTCAAACCAACCCTCAGATTGTCAAATTGTTTCAAATGTGAGGTTCTTTGGTCATTGTGTAAGAAAGAAAACTTCATGTTCATATTACCTTATCTCCACAGCACAATTTCTTGCCGTCATATAGTTGTCTGTTGCAGCAAGTCATACTTCGACTGTCATAGGACTGGCTTCCACAACATCTTATACTATACCGCGAGTTTTGATCAGCGACAGTTTTGTCATTACAACAAATTTGGTTTGACCAATCGTATAGCTTTCCTGCACAACATGCTGAGTTGTGATCTTTTTTTGGCAGCAAGTTTGGCCTGAAAATAGGGAAAATACTTGGTAGATTGTGTTTGTTGGTGGGACAATGCTTAGACTATGTGACTTTCACCAAGTTGTTAAAGATCTGCAAACAAGTAGTAACAAGGTTGTTGTCAAGCCGTTGTGTACGCAGTGCTTGTTGGAACAAGTTGTCTTCATGGTAACAGATTTGCTGCAAGTTGTTCCAACAGGTCTAATACAATTGTTCGTAACAGGTTGCTACGTTGTTACGTATAGACGATATCTGAATAGTGTTTGGAACAAATTGTTGCAAGCCTGTTGACCTCATTAACCTTGTTACAAGATGATAACGACTATTGTTCCACACTTTTCAAAAACTGGGAACATGCAATGCGAACACATCTTGTTGGCAAGCTGTTAGATATCAGACCTGGAGGAACAGCATTCCAGAACTGATAGAGCTACCCAGTGTAAATAAAGCTAGTTTGCTTCACATTTCCTCCTGTAGTAACACTGGAGCATGGTGAAATAACTATAATTTTCTATAATAACTACAATATTATTGAAACCCTAATAATGATATACTTCGTTGTCCAATCTCCTGTATGACAACAAATAGATGTCTTTTGATCGTAAACTTGTTCTCCACAACAGCCTTTTCCGTCTTTAAGATTTATCACAGTTCTATTACAACACGACTGATGTCTGTAGTTCATAACCACATCATTGCCATGCCCATCACCACAACAACCAAGTACTCTGTCCGGGTTGTCTGTCAATTTGTTCCCGCAGCATATAGCGGAGCTCCGGTTGTAAGGCTGTTCTGCGCAACAGCCATACCTCGTAACCGCATTGTTTTTATACACCTTAACAGAGGAGAGAAACTATTTGTGGAATGTTGACTTTTAAGGTGCCACATATAAAATGTTCACATCTATACAAATTTTCACATGTTAAATCGATATGTGGGAAAAAACACCACACAGATTTCCACATGTGGTGATATTTTCACTTTTTGAACTCGAGTTATCGCTCCAGATATATATAAGAGCTCAGTCTCTATACCTTGCCTCCGCAGCATGTTGCGGTGAACAGATGATAAACGGCTTTGTCGTCACAGCATTCTAATCTGGTATTGTTCATTCTCTCAGTCAGTTTGCCTCCACAACATATGTGTTTATTTCTGTCATATATCCGGTCACCACAGCAAGACATCTTGGCACTACGCTTGTATAAGTTGCCGCCACAGCACTTGTACGCTTTCCCGTCGAAAATAAATTTGTTCATACAACAACCTAGGCGTCGAGTCATTGCAACATTCACAGTGAACAACTATACAAGAATTATAAAATTTTAAAAACTCATTAATAATTTATGAGGAAAAGACAAAGAAAATCACTGCTGTGTCGGTAGTTTTATATGTGATAAAAAATCATGTTCATTTACATAAACTTTAGCTTTGATTTTCTCGGCTTAGCGGACAACGTTGATTTTAAGAATTACTTCGTCAGTGTTCTCATCAGATGGATCGTTTCCCTAGGCCATTTAAAACACAAGCAGAAGTGCATTCCTGCTCATGTGTTAAATAGTACATAAACATATTATATTGTGGAAATACCAAGTTTTTAGATAATCTATATGATTTATTTAATATATAATACATTATATATTTATTTGAAGTTGAAATTATTTCTACGGTCACCTCTCTAACACGGATGCCTCTCTATAATACAGATACCTCTCATTTTGTTGTGTAAATTTGAGCTTTTTGCTGCAAAAACTGCGCACAGTTTCTTACAGTCTAATTGTAATTTCTATATGGGACTGTTTCCCTTTGGTGTCCGTATTGGAGGGGTCCGATTGTATCATAATATATAATTCAGAATCTATAGCTTGACACGCTTCGAGTTTCACCCTAAAGTGGGACACACCTTTAAAACTGACTGTATTGAGGACATAAGCCAAATTATCGTATTTGCTCTATCTTTATCAAAAACTCAATTATGATATATAAATTATAACTTTATGGGTTGAGATGGATTCAACGAATTGAAAAATACAAGTAAAACTTCGACGTCTACGCTGGCATTGATCGTTCAAGGATAGAATCTTCATCCCTACCTGGCCTGCACAACATCCGTAGCCTTCTTTGCGGAAAAACCGTGGAGTGGGGGACTTCTTGCAAATATCCACAATTGTAGTGTTTAATCCTGGACATCCTTGAAGTGTCTTTGTCACAATCTCGCCCGCGCAGCACATTTGCGTGTCCGAATCGTAAGCTCGCGTGCCGCAGCATTTCGCGTTTCCGTGTCGTGCGTGCACTGTACCGAAACAACAGATTTCGTCCTTGTATTTAAATGGCGCCACATTCTGACAGCAACCGTTATCCTTTGCTTTGCTACGTGGGTACAAAACACCGCCACAACAGGCCTGGGTTTTAGTTAGGAATCGCGTCGGAGATTGTCGGCAAACATTCGGAATATCGCATCCCGCCGTAGTCTTGGGTATGATGGCGCCATTGCAACACACTTGGCTGTCGCTAAGATACGAGTCTCCATGACAACACGCATCATGATCTCCTCGTCTCGAGATAATACTACCACTGCAGCAAATGTCAGCAGATTGGTTGTATTTTATCCCACCACAGTAGCTGGATTGTATTGCATCGTTATATTCTAGGAATTAATAAGACAAATATCTCGAAATGATTTGCAATTTTGAACTGTTGGACATAACTGGCTACCTTTTCTTCTAAAACTGTCTGTACCAGTGTGGGTAGTACCAATGTGAAAATGCTGTGCTGAGTGGTTATATTACTACCTTAAAAAATAAGGCCCTTCGTCAACTTCGCTACTAACTCTTGACGAAGGACCTTCGCTCGAAACGTCGAGTTTCTGCTTATTTTTTAAGGTAGTAATATAACCACTCAGCACAGCATTTTTACCTTTCCTTTTACATGTACACAAAATTCACAGAACCCTTTTGATAAACTTCCCACTCCCCAACTCAGTACTGTGCTTACATGTGCCATGGTAAATTCCAAAAGCTGTTTGGAGGTTAACATTTCACTGGGGGAGAGGTTGATTTGCCATCAGGATTTTTTTTTTTTTTTAATTACTTAACAATCAGAACATAACATAAGTCCCATCAAAATATTACAAGACAAAGCTTACGTTGTACATACAAAACAACAGAAAAAATACAATTTGTAGTCAAAATTGAACAATTAACTAATCCAAAGGCTGCTCACAAAGGCTGCATGTTAAAGGCTGGTGTACACTATCAAAGTTTCTGTGATCACAGTAGGAATTTGCACAGGAAAATTATATAAGCTTTGGAGGATTTGTAAGAAATGTTTGAGGGAACGGACTCAGTGTGTTAAACACTGGATTAGCGTTATGACCAAAGTTAGGGTTAGAGTTGGGATTAGCGATTAAGGTTTGGATTACGGCTAGGATTAAGATCATATTTAAATTCAGGTTGTTAATATGGAAATTGACCGGACAATCATTCAATTATTTACTTACTGTGATTAAACACTTTCACAAAAAACCTACATCGGCATGGGGAAAAGGTGTCTTGACGTTTTAATTAAAATATGAATGAAGTTTGGTCGCTGTCAGTAAATACAACTATCTGGCTGTCAATTTAAAACACCAACATGGACAAACAAAGTAAATTGAATGTATTTAAATGTCTTACTTTGTTTATTTTTAAAATAACACAAGTTTAAGCCAAGTTAAATAGGAATATGCAAGCCTGTGCTTGTTGGATTTTTTTCATTATGAAATGCCTAGACATGCCTCAGCTTGTTCCTATAAATATAGTTGATAAAATTGTGAAAACCTCTAGGGAGGATTAATTGTAGATTTGGCCTATTTCAAACGTCTTGGATTACGGTCGACCGTGTACATTTGCCTGGTCGCATGATGCAAACTAAGGTGTGACGAAAGTGCGACGTGGTTTCATACGTCGCATTCTGCATGGTGTCAAGTGTGTCCACTGGTATCAGGTCATGCATGGGAAAAGCTGTTCGGAACAACTAAATATTCAATTGAGGGTGTCTAAAAAAAATGCTATGGAAATTCAACAGGCTGTCGTGCATCATAAACGTGGCTAAACAATTCAATTTTTACATAGGACGAAAGAGCAGTTATTTAGCTTTTCAATGATACTCTTTTTAAATCGTAACGATGAGAAATGGCCACATACTCGTCAAATACGAATTGCCGGTCGAAATCACATTCTTCCACCATTGGGAATTGCATGGAAAACGAAACATAGACAACTCCCAATAGGAACGTCCATTATTGCATTAAATATCACAAGCCGCGCAGCATAATATGCGGTGATATTTCGACATGTTTCAAAATCATTGCATTCAAACCTAAATAATCCGCGCGAATGCAGGAATGAAACTAAAAATTGTGATTATCTAGTGATGCAAGACTATATCTTGCTTATATGCTGGTGAGCTGTAAGTAGAAGGTAATGTAAATTATTACGTAAAAACTTGTAATTCAATTAACTTTTGCTGCAAAGATTTTTTCTTCAAAACCTCCATTTGGAAAACTAACAGAACAAACCTTATTTCATAAACGAATAATAGAACATTTTATAAGTGAATGATAGAACATTTTAGGCTGAGCAGATTCTTGTGAAATGGGATAAAGTAGAAGAATAGTTCCAATTTAAAATGATGTAAAGTATTTTTTTCACTGCAGCAGCTGTAGAAATTTAGATTAAATATACAAAACTTTTGGCGCACAACCACATTTTTCAATTAGAAATGAATGAGGCTAAAACTAACGTTCTTGTGATGGGTGTTGGGCGCGGGAGGGGGGGGGGGGAGAGGGTCAAATAGAACAATCTTTTTTATGTTAAATGATGTCGTATTTCACTACAGAATTAAATCATTCTAAATAAACTACCTGCCACACCTATATTTTATCAAAACTGCAGTTAATATCATAATTTAAAAAACAAAAAACTGAATTAAATTTTAATAGTAATTTACCTGCATGAGTAAACTGCACTAGTCCAGCAACCAGTCCAAGAAATAAGATGCTTGCCGCATTCAAACCCATACCAGCACTCTTTCTTTCTGATAATGTAGGCTTCGTAGTTAGTCACAGATGCTCACTTCAAGCTAGATCATTATCAAGTGCGCAAGCATTTACTCACCAGGTCTTTAAATATTATACTCTTTAATAAATTGTTCAAACAATACCTGGAAAATCACTGTAGTTTTTTGATCGTCTGTAAACACGCGGTATGTCGTGTTTTTGAATGGTGTGATCATATTTAATTAACTCGCCTTGAAAAAAATACTTGCGCAATTCCTACAATAAATCTTATAAGGATATATGAAATTAAACGTTTTGAATCACTGTGAGTAATAGGAACTTGAAAAAAAACTGACAGAACTGAAGTCTGAACTTCTTTGAAAAAAATTGCTTCCTTTTTATTAAACATTATTTCGGGATATCAACCTATAGCTCTTTCTCTCCCCAAGATATAATTATGTTGGTCTTATTTTTTTCGGCACTTCACATCCATTGCGGAAAGTGATGTTATTCGTAGAATATATGAGCTAGAAATATCTTAGTCCGCGATTATAGGTTCCTTTATATTAACAAGGAATGTCACTTTTTCTAATTAACTATATGTACTTATTAAATCATAACATTACGTTGATTTAGCCCCCACAAAATATTTGTCTTCTAGTGGCTTAGCTAATGCAAATATTAATTAGTCAATTGATCAATTTCTGATCAATCATCAGCTTCATAAAGTAACAATGACCACACACTAGTACTTGGGCGTTATGTGAATGCATCCCTGGCGCAATGATGGGTTTGATTCTCGTTCTGGACTCAAAAGAGTTAGGCAACGCTCTGTCGTCAGAGAATGTTGACAGGGTTGGATTTTGGGTAAATACAAGTAGATCTCGAGCACATCAGCAGCAAAATAGATATGATGATTAGTAAATGGTTTATATAGGAATTCTTAGCTCAGGGTCAAAAAGATAATAGTGAGCTCCATTAAATATAGCAATTTTATAACAAGCACACTAAAGTTTTGTTTGAAGTTATTTTAATGCTTTCACCATAAAGATGCAAGATCTGGAAGCGATAAAAGACTCATAGCTATCTTGTAGACTGAACCGTCATTTTTAATTTGGGTTATAAATACAAACTGGCTCAATCACAGATAAGGAATACATTTTTTTGGTAAATACAGTGTATAATACATTACTTTTCCGCGTACAATGTTACAGTTAAGCAGTAATAATAACCGTTTAAATCTTAAAATGCAGTTTTGTTTTTAATTGTGTTCAGCTGGGATTGTCCTTACACAGAATACAATCTCGTGTAAATTTCCACTGCTTAACAATTGCTTTCAGCCTTTTTCAATGGACCGTGTTCTATCTCAGGGACGCCAGGAATGCTGTAGGCTCTCTCATTCGTACCCAGCCCATTTTCTGGCAAGTATGCCTGGTGATTATAACCCGCATCACAGGCTGAACGAAAACCCGCATCGAAGCCTGAGATGTAATCCTTGCTCGGTTTTCCCGCCTCGTCTGTTGAATATCGTTTCGAAACCTGCGGTGTATCTTGGGTAGTCGATTCAGTCTTCCCGCGACCCTGACTCTCGGTGTTGGTAAACTTGTTGAACTGCCAGCGGAATATAGGCAAACTTTTCCAAGAATCTCGCAACTCTTGCTTACCAATTCCGTGAAATATGAATATAAACAGGCCTTGGAATGACGACATAATCACGAACGCGTACGTCACGAGAGGGTTCGTGGTAAACGTGGAAATTCCCGCGAGAAGCCAGCAAAACCCGAACACGACCGAGAGAGAGACAGCTGCGCGGAGACTGGGTCGAATGATGTTCGCGTCACGTTGAGAGACTTGAATAATCTCGCGCATGATCAGACTGAAGAAGACGATGTTTATGGAGACTATTAGAAGGACTGGGCCGAGGAAGCTGATAAGGAATGCCAATAATGACGTCATCCAGCAACTGAAACAAATTAAGAATTAATTAGATGGCATTGAGACAGTGGTAGTGGTGATGGCGATGATGATGGTGATAATGATGGTTGTCGTGATGATGATGTCGATGATGATGGTGAACAAAATTTTCAACACTCACGCATCATTTCTCCGCCCATAAACACTGATGTCCACAAGAGATGTTATGCCCACAATCAAAGCTGGAAGACCTGAAAAATATTACAGAAATGTTAGGTCCTTGAGGCTCTGAAAAACACATGTCCATATTGGTTGTTCACATGGGAAACAAGCTGTTCACACGAAAAACACGTCATCATATTCATTGTTCACATGAAAAACACGTGATCAGAATGACTGTTCACGTGAAAAACATGTGATCAGATTAACTGTTCACGTGAAAAACACGTGATCAGATTGACTGTTCACGTGGAAAATACATGATTAGGTTAGCTGTTGCTAAAGTTATATAAAGTTGCATATTACGTCTTACCGTAGCCAAAGATGCAAGCCCTTAGTGTGAAGGCCCTGCTTGAAACGCCGTTAGTATTGAACACTTTTACAAGATCTCTGTATAGATTATATGCCTCAACACACATCCACGATAATGCAGCTAAGATGAAGTAGTGAAGTAACTGTGCTACTGCTGTGCAGTAACTCTTGCCTTCTTTATATGTGAAGGATATTATGGATAACAACATGCCCGCCATTACTGTAGCGCAAATATGAACCAGAATTTGATTTCGCCGAAATTTTCTTAATCTCCTAAAACGGAAAACAATGCCACATTTTATATTATTCATTCGTTAAACTTTAAGTAAACTGTTTTCGTATTGATATTCCTGCTTTATCAATCCCTGGAGATTTATAAGACAAAGATATGGCGGTCATGTTGGATGAAAACGCGCTTCAAATACAATAGCTGCTAATCACATTTTGTCAGCGTTCCGCCTCAAGTGCAAACCCAGAATTGTTTTGTATTGCATTACCTGAAGTAGCATATTGACGTCATTGTGATGAACAAGCCAATCATAGACAATGTGATCCCGATATACGCTATGTAAGATATTTCATGTGGCTCACTGGATGCAATGCCATTCACCGAGAAATTATATTGTCCTGAGGAATTCCCGGATGTGGTTTTGGTTGGTACACCACCACCACCACCACCACCATTGTTAGAATTTTTTAACCTTGTGATAAACGCCATGTAACCATAAGGAATATTCTTTATCATGTGTTCAGGAAGTTTCTATAAGAAAAAGATTTCCATATTAAGAACCTGACTTCAAACCTCACTCTTAATTCTTGCTGATCTATAATTAATTTTTATGATGACCCAATGAAATGTATTCATGCACCTAGGTCTCCTTTAATAAAAAACAAACAATAGACTTTACTATTTATTGCACTTTTGCCCCAATAGAGCCGCCTTGTTTCCATGTTCGGCATGACATGCAGACGCACATGAAGATTACTACATCCCCATGTTTCGTGCACGAATATGTGCGTGCATGTATATATCTACAAACTAGGTCTAAAAACACCCTGGTTAAAATTTTCTGGTTAATCTAAAATCAACACTGTTTGGGGTAACTGAATATTCCTGGTTAAATTTCCTGGTAATTTAACCAGGCTATATGGCTGAATTAACCAGATTATGTTGGCTCGACTATGAACCAGGAATTTCTGGTTAATTCAACCATATAGCCTGGTTAAATTAACCAGAAATCCTGGTTAGGGTTAGCCATGATAGTGATAAATTAGCAAAAATTGCCTCGTGTAATATGTCCTTAATTTAAAAAACTAAATCTAGATTAATCATTAAGTAAACCATTCTTACAGTTGTATTTATATATCTAACTCTCAGTCCTTCTGATGTGACATATCCTTGATCATCTTTTTGTTCGTTTACATGACCCCAAAACATAGTTCTGAAATGTTCTGCTGCTCGAGGTTTATCAGCATACGTTTGGGTCTGGAACTTGTTTTGTGCAATTAACACAAATGACAGGCTGAAAAAATTAAAATATGTTAGCATGTATATTTCCGAAATGTTGCATCTAATCTGCTAATTTTTCGTCTTGCCTCCAGCCTTTGTAATTGTCATTTCTCCCTCACATATGTCCTTCCATCATTATTCTTTTCTATTGATACTTTTCTATTGCTATTTTTGTATAGTTTCGTTATTCTTAACATTTGTTTCGTGCTATCTTTACATTTCCTTTTATTTCTACCATCCCCCGACAGTCAACATGTACTTTTCATATCTGCCTTATTCAGGCTTTCTAGCTATTTTCGTCTTCCTTACAACTTCTCTTTCACTATATCCATTCCTCATTCTCCCTTTTCCAGACTTCATCTGCTTCTTGTAAATTAAAGGAATGTCACTACAAACTCCACAATAAAGGAGACTTACGGCCTTCTAAGTTTAAAACTGCCAGTGGGCTGTTAACTTATTTTTCCAGCCTGCGAAATATTAAACTCTATTGACGAATTTTTGAAACAATGCCCAAATGCATTAATTTTTAAACATAATTTAAATAATATTCTAGTTGACAGACGTCTTCACTGCTACGTTCACCACTTATATTGTGTACTATTTGCATGTCATCTTACTGATCTTAGACGCGTAATCTCTTCTGATAATCTTTTTGTATAACATATATATACATTGTACTTTTGCATGCCATCTTAATATTTTACCTTGTTACTGTAATGTTTTAACTGATTAGCATCGAAAAGCCCTTTTGGGATGTGTTATTATATTACTACTACTACAATTCTGTCCGCTGTTCGTTAATTTCTTCCTTTCCTCTTTACATTGGCATTTCCTTTCTCAGATTTTTTCACCATTTTTATATCCTGTCGACCTTCGTCCTACTTTTCTAGTGTTTATTCCTTTCCTCCCTTTTCCCATTTCACTTTAAACATAATTCTCTTTTCCCTCCCTGTCCTATCTTATTCAATATTCAGTTATTCTCCCATGATACATTTTTACATTATCTTACTTGTGTACGTTTCTATATTCCGCAGGAAATTTCGGCCTGGTGAAAAAAAAAATTATTTCATCATAAATAATATCATATTGTCTATATATTTATATCTACTACGGCATCCTTACCAAATGAAAAGATCTGTAACAGTTACTTTATAATCAAGCCAGTCAACTCTGTCTGGAAAATATCTGTTGAACTATATAGTTGAAGAGAACAAGAATTTATGTGAGAATATTCGGGGAGTCAACATTTCGATATGCAATAATATAGTTTTAAAAGGATACAGGGAGAATTTGATCCCCTTATTTTTCAAAAGTTCAAAATTGTTTCAAACTATTCCCGTCTTGGAAAGGGGGACAACAGGCAACCTCGAATGCCCTGTGGTATAGTGATTAGTGTCGTTCCCCTTTGGTTTTTCCAAAAAGTTCAAACGTTGCCTCGAACAAATCCAAACGCTTGATGGAAATATTGTCAATAACCCGAGTTTGAACTGTTAAAAACATGTTATAAATTTGAAAGTGTCAAGGAGCGAAAATGTATGAAATAAGAAGTACGAAACTATCTGATGTATAGTATAATACCCCTCGTGTAAGATTTCCTGCGATGCCTTTGTACACGTCAGATTCACGATCCACGATGTCTCGCGCGTTATCCACGTGTGTGCATATTGTTCCTGTTATATTGTAATACGCTGTTCCATTTACAGTGAATTCATTTGAATTTAGGTGACCTAGAATTTAACATGATAGCATAAGCATAAAATAAGTAGATATATATTTACGCATTATCAGGATGTAGCCAAATAAAATAATAATAAACGGAGACTGCTTATTAAAGGCAAAAGATTGAAAACCATCATGCATGCAAGCGAAATTCTAGCCCTTTGAAATAGGAAAAAGCCGAAAAACACTAAAACGAGGCTATAGTCAGGCTTGGCTTATTTGCTAAATCTAGCATAAACTTTGGTATTTTTAAAATTTAATTTAATTTTAAAATAAACTTTGGTATTTTTAAAATTTAAAATTAGAAGAGAACACATGGTATTATATTTAAACCCTGGCTTGCGAGGTTGAAACTGTTGGTCTTGAAGTATTCTATAAGGCCGCAGTGATTATCTTGATTTGAGTTAATTTCAGGAGAAAGATGATAATTACCTTTCGAATCGGCGTATAATGACCATCTACAACATATCAGAATTATGAACACGGAGGCTACATGTGCATGCATAAATATCAATTTACCTGGACGACACAGGAACAGGGAGAGAACAAGCAGAAGAATCATTTTCTGTTTGGATCGTTAGTCGTTACTGTTTTGTTTCACCTTCTCTATTTGAAGAAAATTTAAAACTGTTTGAAATTTAAATCTTGATATGCAGACGTCGCGTTCGCCGTCATTAAAAGACCTACGGCTACACTTGAATCTAGGGATTTATATACACATGCATGCATGGCTTAATTGTGCGTTACTGATTCTTTAATGATAATAATGTAAATTTTTCTCAACATTTTTTATTTGAGAATTTTGATTGGGTATCTCTTGATATCGTAAAAGTGTGATACTTCAGAAGTTGGACGTGTAGCAAATATTGTTGTTTTAAATTCTCAGATGTCGCAATTACGTGAACTTATTGCATGTAGGCAGCAGAACAAGCTGGCGACAATATTTCCGATGTCATGTACTTTAGCTCGATTTTAATATGATGATTAATAGAAATAATCCTATATGTAGACTGGGTTTTTACAACATTAATTATTGATCTTTCTGCTCCAACAATTTGAACTGGAAGGATATCTGATTATTCCATATATGAACCAAATACAATATATTCAGGTCAGCTATACCGAACTGGCACTGTAAATACTCTATAATTAAGCCCCCCCCCCCAAATACCTATGACAAACCCATCACCATCCCATGCATCCCGCCCACCCACTAGTGCTGCCCTGAATAATTTACGTATATCAACAAAATATCGGAAATAGGGCATATATATATATATATATATATATATATGATAGTTTTGGAGTTGAAGCTTGTCTAAAATTCTTTTTAAACTTCAACTCCAAAAGCTTCAACTCCAAAACTATCATGTATTCCACTGGTCGCCCCAACAGCATATATATATATATATATATATATATATATATATATATATATATATATATATATATATATATATATATATATATATATATATATATATATATATATATATATAACATACGCATGTTACATTACCTATACTGGACTACCACGTTAGAAATAGGGTTAGAATGTGTGAAAGTGGCTATAGGCAACAAATTGTAGTTGAATCATGTGATACAACATACTAAAATTACAAAATGTAAAGTAGGATCAAGTATACTGAAATATTGACAATACTATGATAAGAAGAAAAATTGGTATCGACTTGCCCTAGCGATAATAAAAGAGTCCCCAAAACGGTTCGTTGTGCACTTTTGCAATTTGAAAAACCGCTTCTTCCGTTGACGATGTAATGAGAGTTGGGACAACCTAGTTTTACTGCAACATGTATTCACATGTATTGACAGGGCCGCCGAGAGGGGTGGGGGGGGGGGGGCGGGGGGGGGGGGGGGGGGGGGCAGGCGGGAGCGAATTGCTCCGCGGGCTCCCACCTTAATAGGGCCCCAACTTAGTGAGAGCCTAAAATTGAGTAGGTTCTTAATTAAATTGGTCAGAGCATTTTTGAAATTGAGGCCAGACCTTTTACAGTACCTCCACACGCAGTCTAGCTAAGGTCTAATTGGGTCTAGCTGAAAAATAATGATGTCATGGGGCCCCCAGGGAAGATTTGCCCCGGGCCCCGCGAATTCTCTCGGCGCCCCTGTGTATTATACCCCCGCCCCCTCCTTCCAAACTTTTCAGCTTGTTGCGGTCTGGGTAACAGACATCTTTTTTAAAAAAATTAGTTGGACAAACATTAAACGGAGACGACGGGGACGCTGAGTGTATAAAATTGTGTGAAATATATATATGTCCCATTGCTTTTGTCAGACAAAGATCTTTTGCTGATCTGTATGAACGCATGAATGAGCATTTTTATGATTATCGTCGATCAGAATCGTATACACAATGTACCTGTCAGAGTCATAATATATCTATACTCGTCATACATATGGCGCTATAATCGCGTAGATCAAAAGTAATGCTGATAAATGATATTTAATAAAGTGGCTATATGAAGTCTCAAATTTTAATAACATCTTGTAGACACTGATATCCTCCAGAGAATTGCTATTTCCTGTTTTCGTGAAAAATAATTTCAGAGAGCGGCAATTTTATAAAATGCGGACGTCATAGGATACAGAGACTCATAAAACACCTCCAACGTCGCCTGTTCAAAAAACAATTGCTAAGAAAAATTAAAAATTCACGACTAGCTTCCTATCCCTCTAAATCCAGCTATATAAAAGGACAAAAATACGAGTCTAATGAGTAATGTACAAAGAAAGATAATACATTCATAAAAACAACATGTTTGAAGAACTATGAGAACTTGCCAAATATATTTTTACATTTTCACCTGTTTAAACAAAACATTGCAGGGAACTTAAGCATGTAGCGCCGGGCAATCTTTTTGAAACACGTTACGTTAACATACTACGATGGTTTGGGCCGATTTCAGGTTTTGCTTAATGTTATACTGACGATTTATATTGTTAATTATTGATGATGTCGTCAGATGTTTATAGAATATAGCGTACGTTTGAAATATCATGTGCGTAGTTCTGAATGTAGGGAAAGTTTGTGTAAACAAAAATTCAATGGAACTTTCAATTTTCTTTTCATTCAGTGCCTTCCTCCCATTGAGAAATGAAATGAGGAAAACAAGTAAAATTTCCTTCTGAGTGGGGAGTTTCTGGTGTCAAAACTCAGAAGATGATCGTATAGCACTAGCCTGCTTGCCGCCTGGAATTTTTTAAAACTGAGTGCGTGGCAAGTTCCAATTAAATCGCTTATGCCTTGAGTAAGAGTACATTTCAATTTCAAGTGATGCTTCAAAGATATCACGCCACTGGGACACATATCAGGAATACCGTTTTCATATATATGCATTATTTAATATAACCGTATTTTTGTTCCCTTATAGCCAATTGTAAAATACACGCTTTTGTGAAAACATGAAAATATATAAATTAAATTAATTTGCTTTGCATGCGTATATTGTTTTATTTTATCGAACACACTGCGTTTACATTTAATATTGGCGCGCTGATGAAGATTTGGGCTTTCGGATAAAACGCATTTCCAAAAGTAGTAAATTGAACGCCAACGGGCAAGATGGCGCAGTTTTGCAAAAAAAGCACTGCATGTAGGCGAACTTTATGCGTATAGCTCTATACGATTCACGAGGCAGGCAACACATACAGTCGATGACCATGTATGCGTCCATGGTTGAAGTGAAGATGGTTTTCTAATTTTTTGCTTAAAATTTCGTGGTATTTTAACAAAATATATAACAGAGGTTAATTGCGTATCTATGTAGAGACTATAGAGGTATAGTTAATTTATCTGCAAATATGATGTTGGGTTGAAATAATAAAATTTTTAATAAGAAAAAAGGATAGAACTATTTTAATTCCTAAACTAAAGATTTTTAACAAAAAATGGTTTTAACAAAACGTACATTTTGTAAGCTCCAACTCAGAGTTAAGATATTAAGTTTAATTATTCATTATTTTAACTTAACTTGGAATCCACACCATGCACTTACTTTAACGAATCCAACTCCTTCAGATTATTTTCATATCATTGTTTTTACGAATCCTTTTGTCCCAGTAATATTCTGTCGTCTTCTTGCGAGTTTTACGCTTTACAAAGTGTTCATTTGTGTCCTATTGTTTTTGAAGCCTATTTTTGCAATTATTTAAACTTAGCTGTAACCTGTGTCAACGGTCTACTGTTCGAATACAAATACAGCTGCAACGCTTGAGTAATTAAAAATTTTTTGACGATGTTATCAAAGACAAAGAATCGAGTATATGATTTGTCTATTGACAAACAGCATGTATGTGTTTGGATTATTATCCGTGTTGATTATCCTGTTATTTTTAGGGAGTTATATATTATAACTCCGAGAAAGAGGGTAGGCA